ATTCTCTCCATCTATTTCAGTTTCCTATAAATAAATAAAAAAAGTAGTATGCCATTTTCTTTGGTCTTAAAATGCTAAAATTATTTTTTACTATTTTTATTTTTTAAATGAGTTTTAAAAAATAAAATTTGATAACTTGTATAGAAAATGGTTTAGCTTCCCCCATTTACTGAAATGCATGGTACCATGCACCATAAATCGTGGCTGTCCTAGGCCCAAACCTTAAATATTGGACCTAAAGCCAAAGGGCAAATTTGGCCTAATAAGGTCAAGCCCAATCTTTCCGACCCAAGTCCAAACTGAAAATTGACATACTTGGGTTGAGCCCAAGACTGAGTCAAACTTGGGTTGAGTCCAAACTGAAAATTGACATACTTGGGTTGAGCCCAAGACTGAGTCAAACTTGGGTCAAGCCCAAACTGAAAATTGACATACTTAGGTTGAGCCCAAGACTGAGTCAAACTTAGGTTGGTCAATCGAGCACTAATTTAAAGTTTTACATAAGAATTTTGTGTGTCTATGTATGTATTTATGTTGGGTTTTAAGTCGAGCTATCACTAAAAAGTTGCATGTGTATATTGGGCTGGGCAAGGCATGGGACAAGCCAAGGAAGTTGGGTTTATGTTGGGGCTAAAGCTACCTAGATACTAATTTTGAGACCAACATAAAATAAAAAAAAAAGAAAAGCCTAGGGTTTTGGGCCCAACCCTAGATATTGGACCTAAGGCTTGGGCCCTAATTAGGCATCTGGTCAAGCACAATCTTTCCAACCCAACCCTAATTAGGCATGTGGATCCAAGCTTGAGTTGAATTTGGATTGGTCAATTGGGATCAAGTGAGCCTGTTAGGCTCAATGTATACTATATATAAAAGTGTGGATGCAGAGTGGAAGTTTTTTTGAACTAAAATTACCCTCTATTTATTTGTTTGAGAAAGGGTATAAATGTCATTTTATTACAGCTTTAATGTCAATTTTTATGGCTACTAAAATGCTCATTTTGTCTTTAGTCCGTCTCTAATTGTAAAGGTTAAAAATGTAACTTCAATTATTATTTTCCACCTCATTTAATCCTCTCTCATTAAGTCTTATACTTAAGGTATTAACTTCTATTTTCTCTTATTAAATCCTATATTTAAGTTATTTTTCAAAATGTTACTAATTAGATCTATGCTAATATTTTTAACAATATAAACTCATATATTTTAAAATTGACTCGACTCAAAAGTAAAACCATTCTTTTATCAAGTGGTGGCTAAGCAATTTAACCATTCGAATCAAATTGAAAAACCCATGAAGCTATAGTTAGGTAATAAAATTTTCAATATAGAAAATTACAAAATTTTAGAAAAAAATAGACACATTAATGATATTTTTATAAGTCAAATTAAAAAAATAAGTGTAGTAAACAAGAATTATTTTTATTGATAATGAAAATGAAATACATAATTTAAAACTGACCAAAAATAAAATTATTTTACTATTTGTCAAAGATAAATTGTTCAGCTTTTGGGTCAAATGTGTTAACATTTAATGTCATAAATAAATAATAAAAATACATAAACTTTGAAAAAACATTTAAGCACACTACATGTATAATATCATATTAAACATAAATTAAGTAACATATTAGAATTATTTTTACACACAAAAATACAAAAAAAAAACTATAGAAAAAATTGAACACATATATTGTGGAACTTTCTTTTGACTAAAATACTCATTTTTGAATTTAGTCCATATTTAACTATAAATTGAACTACTGCTTTTCACCTTATTCAATTCCCTCTATTTAAATCTTACATTTCTTTAATAAATGAAGAAAAAAAAGATACACAAAAAAGATAAAACATTACAAAAAAAAAAAGAATACAGCTAAACAGATAGGCCTATTAATGATACTTGAAACTTCATAACTCGATCTGATCATCACATATTTGGATGAAGTGTTTATGTAATCAAATTTGGATTTTGCAATCTGCATCCGATTAATAACAAAAAAACAAAAAAAAAATAAAAATACATATTTATAGAAATTTTTGGATACATAATTACTATCATAATCATCATATAAAATTGCCACGTGCAAAGTACATGAATGCTTACTAGTGCACTAAAAAATTGCATGAGCCTATTTATTATTACTAATTTAATGCTTTAAATAGGATTTTTGTGTATGTATCGTGCATGCATATTAGGTTTAAGTCGAACTAAGGTCACTAAAAATTTGCTTATGTATAAGTTGAACTAAGGTCACTAAAAATTGCTTATATATAGTTGGGCTAGGTTCAAATTACAATAAGGTCAAGTTGGGTTTAAGTTGAGATAGAGCTACCTAAAGGCTAATGCCAAGACGAACACCAAAATAGAAAAGCCTAGGGTTTTAGTCAAAGGATTGAAAACCAAAGCCCAACCCGTGCAAGTTAAAAAAGTGGGTTGGGTCAGTTCAAACTTGGGTTGGGCTTGCCCAAGTTATACCTCTAGTCCCTTGCATTTTAGCTATACAGTACTATACATGTCTTCTATCATGCTATGTGCTATGTGGGTAATTTGAAATTGAACTACAACAATTGCATGGAGCCTTAAGATATTCCCATTTAAGTAGAGTTGGTCCAAGTATAACCCAAGTTTTTTATGGAATCTAAATTATAATTATTAATTTTAATAATATTATAAATTAATTTAAAATTCATTAATACAAAATTATCTAATAAAATAAAAAACAAAACATAATACAAAATTATCTAATAAAATAAAAAACAAAACATATATCAAACCCATGTTTATTATGTCCAATGGATTTTAAATCATAATATTGTTAAAACTATCAATTAATATTTTTTATTGTATTAGTGTTATTAAGTTTGACTTTTAAGTTGAAATGTTTTTAATTAACAATTTAAGAAAACCAAACTTAAAATTTTTTATTAACTATTCTAAGATAAATGTGTTTTAATTTTTACTAAGTTTTATTAATAGTTATTATTTTGAAGTGGAAATTTAGTGGATTTTTAATTAATAATTTTTTAGGATAATATTTTATTTATGTTGTTTCGTGTTTTATTGCTTAACCTCAACTTATTTGGTTTATTTGATTTATTAATATTTTGTTGTATTGTGTTGTATACTTGTATTAATATTCCCTCCCCCTCTTTCTTAAATATGTACCTACTTAATCTTGATAATAGGTTATTAAATTTTTTTAATGACATGATATAATTTGTCCAATCAAAATTGACAATGATTCATTTTTTTATATTTTTTAAAGGAAAAGAAAATAAGAAGAATACAAAAAAGGAGAAAATAGATGGATTTGTTTTAGATGAAGATTTGGGATATTGATAAATTTTGATATATACCCTATCCCTTTTAGCCTCTTCCAACTTGTAACTGATTGTTTTTTTTAGGGTTCTTCTAGGTTTTACAAGTAGTCTTCTATGCATGTAATTGAACCATCTAAGTCTAGTTTCTCTCATTTTATCAATATCACCTATTAGAGCTACTCTTAAGTTCCTTTGAGTAACTTCACTCATATCTCATCATTCGCATTTCTATCACTCATTGTTTTATAAAATATCATTTTAATCTAAATGGTATTCACTTCTCACATAAGACTCGGAATGTACCCCTTCATTTTGCCTATTCTAATCTAATTCTATAGGTGATATTTTCCTTAATCTCTCCCCTGTTATAAAATATCGAACTAAGGCATATAAAATGAAAATATTGACTTATCTCTTGATCTCGAATCTCAAGTATATTATTATTAAATTTTAATGACAAATTTCTTTTGAAATACCCAAAATGTTTGAAATTTTAGAGATTTAAAACTTTGAATCCAACTATTTTGATAAACTTTTCGAAGTAAGCATGACTTCATGTTTGGTAAACTTTTCAAACTTTGTAGCATAAATACTTGGTAATGCTTGATAAGCTTTTCAAACTTTGAATCCAACTATTTTGATAAATACTTGGTAATGCTTAAAACGTGTGCGTCAAATGCACTTGTAATATTTAAACCCCACCACATGACTGTATACATATATTTGGATATTTTAAGTGACATGTATATATCACTTAGTAGCATATATATGGATACCACGTGATGCCTAGATTATGTTCAGCGACACGTGTACCATGTGTCAACAAACTTAGATGTCGTGTAGCACTAGCATGCATTTAATGACATGAATGTGCCATATGGTACATATATGAGATGGAAAATTACACCTTATCAAATATGAATTTATTATATTATCCTACTTCGGTATTGTGTTGCTTTTATCCACAATATTTATTGACTTAAATTTGGGAATATGAGTACTCGTCCACTTCCACTAATGAAGTAACGCACATTTTGTACGTTATAGAATGGAATGACTTTATTCTTCTTGTTCTAAATTAGAAACGATTTCCGAGTGGTTTTGTCTTTGAAACCGTTTCATTAATTGTTCCGTCACAGTTTAAAAGCAACCCTGCGCGTCAGGTACCTGAACCTGATTCCGGTTCTAGTTCTAGATTATTATTGAAAAATTCCTAACATCGAATGGGGGGTTGGGGGAATCAATCCCAATTCCCACGTCCCTACGAACTACGACTCTACCTTACGTTATTCTTGTTTCAACTTTCACTATTCCAGTTGGATTAATTGGATCTCACCAGCTGGCTGGCACCTCCGACATTTTTTTTTTTTTTTAATTTTTATGAGCCATTGCTTTATGATCTGAATCAATATTCTCTGTTTTTCAGTTTTTCTTTTGGTAGAAAAAAGACTGATCAGTAATCAGTTATCAGTCATGTTATCCTCGGATGGTCATTGGTCAGCCTGCCGATCCGATGACTGGACAACTGACCCCACATTGACATTGGTGGCTGGCTTTTTGTCATGTTAAAACTTATAAAAAATGAAGGCAAGTGCAAGATCTTAACTCAAGCTTTGTATATTGGGTTTGGTGCCAATGCAATACTAAATTTTCTGGTTTGCTTGGGGCAAAAAATAAAAAAGAGAAGAAAACAGATAAGAAAAACCATACCAACTAACTAAATATTGTTTCTATCCAATGGGATGTGCCTGGGTGAAGAGAAGATACAGATATGAAGATCTTGCAGCTCAAACTTGTTGTAAGCCTCAGTTTCATAATATAGTAAATTTCAGGCTTTGCTTTTCTTTCTGCCTTCACTTCTAAAATATTAATTTTAACTCAGTTTCACACAAGTTTCTGTTACTAATACCTACTTTTGGTCTTACATTTGGATTCATCTTGCTCTGCAGTTAGTGTGAAGGAAATCAAAATGTTGTATGAGCTATTCAGGAAACTAAGCAGATCCTTAATTGATGATGAGTTCATTAGTAAAGTAAATTTCACATCTTTATTTAGTCCATGTAAATCAGTTTATGGCTTAAAACCATCCATATTGATGAATAACTTGCTGCTAATTTTAACTAAACATAGCTGAACCAAACTGGTCATCTAATGGATAATTAATGGTTTCAAGTGACGACGATTCTGACTCATGGTCAATGGGGTTCACTTACAAAGTGTGATGCATGTTGGTCGTAGTTTTTCTGCTATTTGTTTTGAACTGTGTTTTTTCTTTGCAGGAAGAGTTTCGTCTTGGATTATTCAGGGACAGCAAGAAGCAATGTCTCATTGCAGACAGGGTTAGGCTCCAGTTACTTAAAAATTTAGTTTGCCTTTCTTCTTCTTCTCTTGGGATTGAAATGCTGGTTAGGAGCAATATTTTCTCATTGTTATAGTTCTTTTTTTTGTGGAATAATTATATCATGATTTATTTCTGCTGTAACAGGTTTTCAATTTGTTCGACTTTAAGCATGATGGAATCATGGAATTTGAGGAGTTTGTCCGGTCATTGAGTGTATTCCACCCAAACTCACCAGAAGCAGGCAAAATCGCATGTAGGAATTTTCCTTCAATTTTTGACATGCATGTAGATGTAGTTATACATGCAAATTCCACAGTTAAAACATGTGTTGTGGTATGAGAAACATGAATGCACTGTAGATAGTAAATGTTACACAGCCAGGCTGTATGCTCTTGGGTGCAACATCTATAGCCACAACATTTACAGTTCAACAGTGTTTTCGTGTTATCACCACCACAAAACACAACAGGTTTCTGTACCATAGAAACATGTGTCTATAGTTTTCCTTTGGATTTAATTAGAATTACAAATCTCATATGGCAGTTATGTTCCAGTTGTATGATATATGGCAAACTGGCTTCATTGAACGTGAGGAGGTAAGATCAAGATTTTTTTTTTTTTTATTGTTAGTAAAGATCAAGAACAATGTTTTAAAAACCGACCTGGAGGCCGAACCATATTTGCCTCCGGGTCGTGGGTCACAAGTTCAACCGTCCGGGTCAAACGGGTCAGACCGCCCCACATGTATTTAAGGTACATATATATATATATATATATATATATATATATATATATATATTTATGTATGTATGTATGTATGTATGTATGTATGTATGTATGTATATGCGTGTGTGTATAAATATATATTTTATCAATAAATAATGTATAATTATGTTTTAGATATGTTATATGTATTTTTTATATTTAATTTATGTTTTTTTCGCAAAAATAGCGGAATAGGCGCCTTGGGATGCATAGATCTTGAAAAGTTACCCAAATTCCCAAAAAAAAAAGTTCACTTCAATCGAACATCGAAGTGCAAAGTTATGGCCTTCGAAAGTTTGCATGCATTGAGTGTGCAACCCATGACCCAGTGACCGGGTCGAATGGGTCAATGGTTGAACCAGCCGGGTCAGATAGTTCTTGACAAAGTCAATGTTTTTTACCACCTGATGGGTTTTGACTGAACCGGACCCAAAATCCTGGCTAGGTGACGATTCGAACGGTTCATCCAGTTGAACCGGGTCAATGACAGATTGAAAACACTGATCAAGAAAACTACTTTTGTAAAGCCAAATGATACAGTAGCAAAAGTGGCTCAAAGGTGATGCAAGATGAATAGATATGAAATTATTACAACAGAGTAATAACAAAATAAAAATTATAGATTAAAAAAAAATTGCTACTAGACTTGGTCATGAGCACAAAATACAATGATAGCTTGGCGGTGTCTGATGCTGCTTGCATAATGATGTTTAGAACATTCACGTTTCTAAAACTGTAGACCAAGACTAAATCCTACAGAATTGGGTGTTGACAAGGAATTCAGTGACAGAATTTCTTGAGTTTAATATTTTAAGCACCCAGTCAAGTTTCTAAGAACTTGATTCTTCTTTCCCTCAAAGCTTTAAGTAGTCTCTGTAAATATGAACAACCAACATATATTCAGAATCCTTTTAATCACTAAATTGTGTTTCTAGAAATAAAATTGGAAGTCCTTATTCTTTTAAACATGCATGGAGGAAGGTCAAGGAAATGGTTTTGGCACTTCTGGATGAATCTGAACTGATCCTTTCAGATGACATTGTTGAAGCAATTATTGATAAGGTAAGGATTGATTATTTTTAACAATAGTTAGAGGTTTTTTCACAAAAAAATATGATCTTGTTATGTTTTAAGCTATCTTTCCCTTTACATTTATGAAAGACATTTAAAGAAGTGGACTCAAAAGCCGATGGAAAGATTGATCAGGAAGAGTGGAAAGAATTTGTGGCCCAGAATCCATCGTTGCTGAAGAATATGACCATTCCGTATCTGAAGTAACATTCTTTTCCTGTTTACCTGTTTCTATTAATATGGTTTGTAGTTACTTCAAATTGTGTTTTCAATCTGAATATACCTGGATCTAATCTTCAGCTTAAGTCCATCCTATAGAGTTTGTTAACATTAGTTCTTATATGTCAGTAATACAGCAATGAAATTTAATTATTATTTTCTTTTGTAAGCCCATCATACATACAACATAAAACTTATTGCCATATACTAACATTTAACAATGTTCCAGGCCATTATGATTGGCCCTAGCCTAAATTACCATTATATACCGGTCAGTAAATTACTTACATATCAAAGGCTCTAACATAAAACTGTAATACTAGTTTGACTTAGTGAAGATTTAAAGTGTGGCATGTGTTATGATAATTAAAACAATGAAATCTTTAGGGGTTCAGTGGAGTGTTGACTTCATGTCTTAATTGTTTTTGAAACACAAAACTTGTTTAGGTGTTCAATTCATCATGGTTCATAAACACAAATATTGCAATTTCTGAAATTCCAAAATCTCATGTTCTAAATCACAAAACCATTTTTTGGCTGGCACAATCATAATGTCTCATTTTTGCTAATATAAACATGACATCATCGGTATGGTTGTAAGAATATAATCATTATTCGCATGGTTTTCTGCAACCATATAACCATGTAGAGAACACTCTTTTGGGTTGCATGGTTCAAAACACCAGTTTTCACTTTAAGAACAATTGGACCCAGTGTTCTCAACTACAGCACAAGTATTTTCAACATTCTACTGAACCCACCTTAATTCCTAAGATGAGTGGCAACTCCTAAACAAGCATTATGTAAAATGCATTGCTTTAGATAACCATAAAATTGAAAACATTAAAAACTAAAAGCTATGCCCAATTCAAAGGACTTACACAGTTGGAATAATTGATTTAAAGTAAAATCTGCTATCTTAACTCATTTGATTTCCTGATCAAATTAAATAACTCAGCATGTCTTATACTTGATTGAGTATGCTGCTAGTTTGATAATATCATATGTAAGTTTAAATTTGATAGAGGATTAAATACTTGATCAACCTGATAAGCATAAAGCAAATTCAAAAACTTGACAAAGCATTAAGTAATCAATCCTATGGAATTTTATGACATTGAGAATTGACAAAGCAGAAAAAAGGCAATAAATTGCAAGTATTTGACCCATTTTCTTCCATTTTAATGACTATAATTTATTCCTTTTTTTCTTAAATAACTTGCTCTTGTATGAAATTGAATGGTTTTTGGACACTTATGATCATTTTATATGATGCCACTAAGACCCAATTTTCTCCTGGTTTAGGGACATCACAATTGCATTCCCTAGCTTCTCATTGAGATTGGAAGATAAAGAAGAAACTTAACCTCACCTAGAAGATTTTAAGGCTGTTTTATGATCCCATGAGAGTTCAAGCCACAGTGATCTTAACTAATTCACACATATTCCCAGCTTTGCAATTAAGCTCTAAACTGATGCAAGGAAAAAACAATAAAAATATTGGAAGTTTCCTATTGTAGTCCTGTTTCCAGATGAGAAGTGTACAAGTGAAGCTCAGTTTTATGCACTGGATATTCCTAATCACAGTGAAATGCTAAAAATGCAATAAAAGGACATGAGGAAGAAAGTTTTACATTGCTAATATACAAGGTCAGATAGCTTCAAGAGTTAACATAAAAGTATTCTTTAAAGAAATCCAATTCCACATAAGTACTACACTTTTGAATGATTGACAAGAAAAAAGAAACTAAAAAGAAGAAACCATTTTGTTAATACCAGACAAGCTTATAGTCTTCACAAAAATGCAACATCATAATCAGGTCCAGTCATATGTAAGTACTTGACATTACCATCACTGGCAATCATACAGGACCCAAGCATCATCGAGATATATCAAATAATTGGGTACTTGTCACAATGCATTTAGGAGATGGACATTTCAGAAGCTCCTCAATCAAGTTTTTTGGCCTTTGGCACTACCATATCCTGCAAATTCATGGGATAGCACATGTTTGTATGCAGGTTAGACCACACATTGTCTGCTAGGATAGCATTCACAGCATCTGTTGGATGAAACTGGTCCCACCAGATATGATTGGATGCATTATAGCAAGCCATTTCTGGTGATATGCACATGATCCAACCCTTATACTGGCCCAACCCACAGCAAGCATCAGTAGTGACCTCAAAACCTGCATAGAGTAGAGCACAGGGCTGTAAGCTGCACAGAATCCTATTGGACCTCCAGTAAAGTAATGATAAACACATTTAGATGATCTCACCATAGTGTTTGTGGTTCTTCATTATATCCATAGAACCTTCAAATGCATCACAGAAAATGATACTGGCATCAAGAAGCTCTAGACGAAGTTCCTCAACCATATATCTAATGGCAAAATTGAACTCCACTATCATGTCGTTTATTTCCTTTACACACTCTCCATTCTTACTGTTGTACTGCCACAAGTAGTGAGGAGCACAACCGATTGGAGCCAGTCCCATCACCACCACCCTCCTTACACTAGCATTGTACAAGTTCTGCATAAAGTGTTATTACAAATTAGATAAAGACTTCTCTTAAAGCGTGCAAAGATTTAGGAAGTAATTCTACAACTTCACCCTCCAAGAGGTTGTGTATGACTATTTCATTCCTAGGTAACAGTCCATACTGGTTAAAAAAGAAGGTTCATCACAAAGTTTTCTAAAACACTATCATCAGGCTTTAATTTTAGGAAATACTACAGATACACTTCCCAAATAAAATAGTCCTCAACTATTACAGTGAAAGCGAAAATACAAAAAAAGTTATGGAATTCACCTTCAGAGCTCGCTTTACTATTGTTGCCAAGAGCTGGTTGAAATCCCATGGCAGATAGAGAGACTGCACTCTTGATACATTACGCAGGTAGTAATGTATATAGTCATTGCTTCCAATTGAAAGATAGAAGACCGACTTTGAGATGATATCATTTGCTTCCATCTCTCCCATACTTAATATGAACTGTTGGAAGGTATCTGTAGCCTGCTGAATCTGCTGCACTAAGGAGATGTGTTGACCCTGAAGATGTTAAAACTGAGGCATAATTATTGTCCAAGTATTGAATGGCATGGTCAAGTGCATGATACAATAGTCACCGTAGTAGGATATCTCTTGGATTGAAAGCTTATCCTGTCAAGTGCATCACTTCGTAAATTAGGCTAGCCTTGGTCTAGTTTCCAAATAATCTTGTATATTCTAATCATTACTTGATACCAGTGTCCATGAAGTGGGAAAGTCGCTTTGGAACTGAATGGAGGTTATCCCGTTTTTTGTCAGCCAAACTTCTAATAGCCAAGAAATTGATAATCCTAGTTAGATCCTTTTGTATATGCCAATTCCATGTAGTCGTTTAGATCAGATTGTACCATTCAGTTTTTCTAACTTGTTGAACCTCACAAAGAAATAATCTCGCAGGAGGAGCACTTGGAATATGCATGCACAGAGCCATGTATGCATCGCCAGCACCTAAAGTGGAATTAAGATTCATACAGTGCAGGCACCACCATGCAAAATATCTATACCACTTATAACTAGAGATTAATGGGCCACAGATTGAATGGACCAAATCTCTGAAATACCATTGGCTAAATGATCATATCTGAAAGAAGGCTATATGTGATAGATCAAAAAGTTAGCAACACCATGCCCTAAATGAGCAGCCCTTTGCACTGAAGGGAGGGATCGCATCATATGGCGATTAACCTACAAACCATACTTCAGTGTATAACCGACTGAAGATCACCACTAATCAAGAATTAACCCAATTTGCTTTTTCAGTAGGATTTGGAAAAGCAGTGGACATTACCAGTTCTGACCCGCTCGAGAAAATAATTCCAGAACCAGCAGAAGCGAAATTGACTCCACGGATCATGTCTTCAACTGTTCCGTCCTGCCCAAGGAACGCGGGTACAAAGGGAAGGCCCAGGCGTAATGCTAATAAAATTAACAAAACCAACATCAATTTGAGAGAAATTTTCACAAAACTTCATCGAGTTTAGCCAAGACTAACAAATAGACCCCGAAAATAAATTTTCAAGATCCCCAAAGCCCATGACACTGTCTAAAACTCTAAATGAAATTCAAAGCCGGTACAGAAATCAAGACAAAGATCAAGACTCTCAGAGATTAAATTCCAGTAAATTCCCCAAAAAAGAAACACATATAATGTTAAAAGAAAAGAAAGTGAAACGAGGAAGCTAGAAATTACCGAGATAATCAACGGGGATCCTCCCATTGCAGAACCTCCCAGTCGGCCTGTGCGTATCAAAGTCCCTGCCATACGGCAAAAAATCAGCACGGGCAAACGTGCCAAGGTAATTGTTGGTGCCGCAATCAACTGACGAATCTCCAAGAACAAATAATGCCGGAACCAGAGGAGAATTTGATATCGTGTCATTAGACGATTGCATGGAAGTCGAATTCGAAGGTATCGTGGTGCTCTCCGCCTTGGAGAGACGAAGTGAAAGAATTTCGATTTCTTGAGGAGATCGTAGAGATCTAGGTTGCATAGTCATGGAAGAGAGAATACAGAGCACAATAAGCGAATTAAGCGACATGGAGAGAGAGAGAGAGAGGTGCAGTGGATTTTGGCGCCAATTTGGCGGGTGCGATGCTATCATGCTATGGGCGGTTGAATTTGACGAACTCGGCTTCAATCAGTGGAAGTCCCGTTGGAACACCATTGGGAATATCTCCGTACCTATGCACCCTGGACACGCTTCAGAGCCTTTTTCAGCCTTTTCATGGGGAGATATTCCCAACCGTGAATCGTGATAGGTAGTTCAGCCGGGTGTGTATAATTTTGTCTTCGGTTCATTTGGATATGGTTCAGAGTGGGATTTGAGCCTCTCTTCCATTAATACTGTAGAGGATTGGGCTGCTTTTGAAGCCCATGACTTGAGAAGGGAGTATAAAAAGGTATCATTGAATAATGTTACGTGATTTGCGAGAAGTGGGGGACTGCTGACCGCCTGATTGATCAGCAATTCTTTAGCTATTCCAGGACTCGCTCGTGTTTCGCTCTCGTGGTAGATGCCTTGATAGATAGTTCTGGTGTCACGCTTGGGTGATTCATCACATTGTTGGTGATGGCAGATGACTCTTGGGTTGATGCTCTGAATCATGTGCAGTGTTCAGAGGAGAGGAGGGTGTTGACTGTTGATGTTAACAGCAGAGGAATTTCAACAAATTGATCAGGGTGGGAAATGGGCTCGATGTTTGGCGCGCGAGAAGTCTGCTAATCCAATTGCAGTGCAGAGTATTTATCCTAAGTCCTGGAATCTAGCTACGACGACCAGTGGAGTATACACCTGATCGAGGGTTATTTCTTGTTTTTCTTCAGCCATATATGAAGTTGACATCCGATCAGTTTTGGATGGTGGACCATGGGCTGTGGCTGGACAGATTTTGGTGTTGCAACGTCGTTGGACTCCTAGTATTTTGTTTGATGAAACGGACTTCACAAAGACTGCTTTAATTTCACGACCCAAATTCATGGATTTCCGTATAATTAAAGTCTATTAATCGGGGATCGAGAAGATTGCTGGAAGATTTGGACGAATACTGTCGGATAATTCTTTAATTTAGACTTGCAGAAGTGCTAGCTGGACAAGTCATATTCCAGCCCGTGTGGATCGAGATTGATCTGACTTTACCTCTCAAGGTTAAGGTTCCTCTAAATCGGCCTAATCAATCTCAACAATTATGAGAGGTTGCCTCTCTTTTCTTACTATTGTGGATGCATTGGGCATGACGAACATCATTGTTTGGTGAAAATTGACAAGGACAAACTAGAAGGCGTTGTGCTGAAGGATTTCGTGCTGAACCACCAACTGCCTTTGGACGTCGTCCATGGAGAAATAAGAATTTTTGTACTGGACATATGGATGCGTCGTCGTCGATGGGGAAGATGATCGGAAATCCGGCGAAGGGGGTGGTGCTGCAAACAGTTACTTAGTTACAAACGGTTACAAAGCAGGTTGGTGATAAAGAAAAAACTGTATTACCTGAGGTTGTTTCCGGTTCAGTTACCATAAGTAGTGGTCCAAGTGGCCATATCTATTATTGTAAGGATGTTGGCTGCAATAAAAAGAAAAAGGAAATTAGCTGATGAATCTGATGAATCTGAGTGGACCCATGAAAGTTATTGCTTGGAATTATTCCCATTCCAAAGTATGTTAAAAAGTAAAGAACTTATCAAAAAAAAAAAACACCCTTCAAAGTTCAAATCCTAATATTAATAAAATAATAAAATATTATTAAATTAATAATAAGATAATAGTAATATGTTAATAATAAAATAATAAATTATTAACAAAGTATTAATAAAATAATAATAATAATGAAAATATCATTTATTAAATAATAATAATTAAGTAAAACAAAATACTAATATATTAATTATTAAATAATAACAAATTAATTTAAAAATAATAAAACAAAATGAGAGAGTATTAATAAATTAATGTTGTAATAGTTCAACACCTCGGGGATGAGTGGATGAAGGGGGAACCAAAGACCTGCTTTCAAGGCCTCCTTGAAGACAATGATCTCATTGTCCCTGTGTTCCCACGGTACCCCTCGAGAGGAAGAGAGTATCCGAACTCATTCTGAATGCTATACTAGGCAATGAGCTCATAGATGTTATAAATAGAGAGCTTTGGAAGGACCAAACTGGTATGATGCTTTAACCCTATGTGAAGACGACGCCCTCTTATGAGAACCACACATTATGAATGAAATGGAGCTAAGGGAAATGATCACCTAAGAACAATAGACTGACCTTGCGAACAACACCGAGCACTCCAATAATGTCGAGCTCTATGATCTCACCAAGAACTACAAAGATAGGGACAGGAAAAAATGGGCTCCCAAGGGTCCTATTTATAGATGGATGGATCGAACTATGGATGGTTGAGATCGGTTGGATCCAATAGTTCGCAAGGGGTGCAACGATTTGTATTCCGAGGTGAAATCAATTTAGCGCGTTTTTTACGTCTGCGCGACCTAATAGTTGCATGGCATCCACACATCCCCGATACACTACCTTGTGCCTAGGCCGGATTGACTAGACCACCCCAATCTCGAACCATTGATTGGACCACAAACAAGGATAGAGAATAAACCAAATCACCTCAAGTTATAACTACTCCCTCGTCGGGGTAATTTGGTCCCCAAATGACATCACAACACGTGGCATCGAAGAACAATTGGGTGACACCACAACACTATGCAAGCACATCACCTTAGACACTTCACAATTGCATTAGTGACCTCGGGGTCACCCTGGTAGAATGAATTACGAATAGCTAGATGGGACCTTAGGTCGGTGGCGACTAGCTTCCACTAGACTACCCTGGCCCCGACAAGATGTCAGGTCGACATGAGAGGCGACTTGCTTCTGCCGACCTAACTTAAGTTTAGCTAGAGACTTACTAGGTGACCTCCTTCGTAAGCGAGTTATCGTCTCCGACTTTCCTAGGATCACGATGCCACATCAAAAGAGCTGGTTATCAACCCGCCCACTCTGGGTGCACCTGGATAAGCCCTATCCGCTTACACAGAGTCCATCTTCAAGCATGAAACCACTTCTAAATCAAACAAGCCGAAGATCCCGAATATGTTTCATGAGGCTCACGACAACCCGCCTATATAAGGCCTCACCTCCAACCTCATAAGGTACACATGATTTAGCTCTCTAAGCACTCTAGCTCTCTTTCTTTATTGGACATTGTTATCTTTTTTATAGCTCGGTTAGGCAACCTACTCAGTCCGATGTTTAAGCTATCCGCCAACAAGGAGCACCAGATCGTGCATCATCACTAAGATACTATATAACATACACCAGGCTTTGAACTATGAGCTTTATAATAGGGTTGGGCTTAGGATAAAAAATAGACTCGATAATCAGGCTGAGGTTTGTAGGCCTATAAACGGAGTGAACTTGAATCGAATATGACTTGATTCAAATTCGAAACCTATTAAATAAAAGACTATTCGAATTCGATTGACTAAATTGCTCATTACCTTTGCACTAAAAAACACTCCTCCAAGGGGGAATCATCGACTAGTAAAGTAATAATCTATTATCTTGCCAAATTGATTCAGGTGCAACGTGCAAACATCATATTTTCATTCGTTGTCTTTAAGAACCCAGTTGAAAAATCCAATTTATTGAAGTCGGCTTGGTAAAAATCGCTCATAATGTCTGGCATGCCTGGTTTTCTTCTTTTATGAATAACCCGTGATTGATAGTTGTGTCAATATGTGGCTTGCCGACTACCTTTATCACCTGAGTAGGGTTGAGCATTCGATTTACAACTGAAATTTTAAAAACCAAAATAAAAAATGAAAACTGAACCGAAACCAAATTACAAGAAAACTAAAATAATCAAAGCCGAAATTTTTGGTTTGGTTTTCGGTTATTTTGGTTAAAAATCGATTTTAATTAATATATATATATATATAATATTATATATTATAACCTATAATATATTATGAAATTGAATTTTATTATAATACATTATATATAATATATTAATATATAAATATAAATCATATTATATATTAAATGTTATATATTGTTATATAATAAATTTCAGTTAATTCATTTTTTCGATTAATCGAATTTGTAATTTTGAAAACCAAAATTGAAAACCAAAATAACTGAACCAAATTACTCAAAAACCAAAAAAAAACTGAAACCGGAATTTTTGATTTGGTATTTTGGTTTTAACCAAATAATGCTCACCCCTACGCCTGTGAGAGAGAGAGAGGGAGGTATTTCAATGTAATGAAAAAGTTAAGACAACAGATAGGTGGGCTTCCCTGGAAAAATATTAAAAAAAAAGAATTCTTTATTTCAATATAATGATAGCTTCTATCTTAAACATCAAAACTGAATTTTTTAACTATTTTTTTTTTTTGTATGGATTGGATTAACTCTAGTTTCAATAAAAAAACAAATAGCAGGCCTATGAGATTCAATTAAATTAACATGTCTTTGCAAACAGGGCCTACCAGCCCCTTTACATTCCAATTAATAATATTCATTTTGAGAACTAAACTATTTCCAAGACCCATACTGTCCAAATCTTCTATCATTTTTTCCTTGCAGCTGCTGTCATGGGTTTTTTTTTTTTATAACATTTTCTTCAACATTCAATATCTCAATATTGGCTTGAACATTTTCTTCCTATTCTTCATCCATTAGATCATCATCAGCATCTTCATCAGCTTCATTTCCCTCTCCTTCAAAGTCTTTCTCAGATCCCCATCTTGGGATTCATAATTTTTGTGCATTTACATCTTTATTGACTTTGTAATTTGAAGGATATCTGGGGTATTGGAAACCATTGCTTGTGTAATTTGTTCTTTTACCTTTTTTTGGGATCCAACGCTGGATTGGTTGAAAACTATTCCAAGGCTCAATCTTAAAGATTTTGGAATGGATTCTAGAACGAACAGTCCTTTGAAATTTTGCTTGCCGATCCAGTTGTTTGTTTTTGAGTGTTCAAAACCTGAAAATTTTTTATCTTGGGGG